CTGCGCGAACGCGTCAAAAGCATTCAGGCGCGTTCAGTGAACGCGCGTTCACCGCGTTCATTTTTGGAATGAGAAACGTGCGGTAACATAGACCTGTGCCACGACCGAGAATTGCTGCTAACGATTGAAGTAGCTTTCTGACTGCGCGTTTGCAGGCTTGCGCACATAGATGTGGGTGCAGTTGATGGCGTCGAAACAATTTGGGAAACCTTTACCGCTGAAGGCTCAGAGGACCTGTAGGAGATGACGGCTGGTTGGAATTGCAATCTTGTTTGGATACGCAGCCAATATGACATTTGTCACATCATTCACAATCGTGATCCCCGATGACTTCCCAATGCTGAACGACGATGTGCCGCTCTCGAAAGTTTCAAATGATGCTCACCGGTACAACGCGTAAGCCACAATATGGTCGGGTTGCAATGACTCTCGATAGTGAGTAAGTCTGCGTTGAATGAAAGGACTGCACGCGGCGACTATGTCATTGAACACCGTCCGCGTCATCCACAGTTTGTCATGGAAGTAGTCGTCGCTTGCATCGTCGGCGATGGTGAGGTCCCTCCATGTTCAAGCCGTCCATCTTTTCACCCACCACCTCGGCGTCTCCCTTGGCATCACACCCGCCACAATGGCATTCGACAACAAGAATGGCGCATCCCGTAGGCCTGGCGGGGAGTGCACGTCCATCAAAGCCTGGGCTACGGCGGCCTCCCGTCTTCCCGTCTGTCTTCCGCTGGCCCGCCACAGGTTGCTCACCGTCTGCATGTGACGGGAAACTGCGAGCAACGCCGTTCCTAACAGCGACCTTTCCCTTGGCGTCAGCCTCCACGCCCCAGGCGCATCAGCGATGCCATCTTCCATCTCCCCTAACGAACCGCAAACACGCGAGCAGCGCACTCGCCAACTGGCGGGCTATGGCGACCTTCTTCCCAACGCGGCAGGAAGCACGGATAACGGGAGAGGGCGCTGTCCACTCATGTGCGGTGGAATTCAAATTCAAAATTTTGCCGCCGCACACACCTTTCATATCGTGGGACGCCGCCTTCGCACGCCCGGTAGGCTGGCCGGTCAAGCGGCGAGGGCCCGGAAATTGCGTGTCCCATGGGCCCGCAACTGCTGGACAACTTTTTGTCCGTCCTACTGTCTCCACGGACGTCCGTGCCTGACAGGCCGACCTTCTGACACCTGGCCCTCCTCACCTGAGATGTAAGTGCGGGTAAGTGTAGGGTCTTCCTGAGGGGTTGTGGAACAAAAAAACAAGTTAGGGTAAATTAATCCCCCTCGGCTGGTTAGGGTGCCCTTACGGTGTAAGGATTCGTAAGTGGTGTGCAACCAGGCCCTGTGGTCAGACATTCCAGGACTACCTTAAGGACCACCGGAAAAAAATAAAATAAAAATATTCCGCCTTCTTTTTCGGTACAAAGTACGGGGCTGGCCTCTTCCGCCCCTGCAATCACGCTCGCGCCTCCACGTACCAGAAACTTTCCACCTCCGTGAAATTCCGGGGACGGGATCCTGCTTTTGTGGAAAGACGTGGGATCCCAAATTTGCCTAAAAGTGCCCGGCCTATGAGAAGTGGGCTCTGCCCTTAGAAAGAGCGAAATCCGTGCTTTGAGTGGGGTGTTGGCCCGACTGTCCAGAAGGCGCCGTCGTCGTTCAGGAGGGGGATACTTCCACTGGCGGGAAAAGAGAGAGAATCAAGGTGGGTGGACAACTTCCACGGGCGGGAAAAGAGGATAGCGGGAAACTTCCACTGGCGGGAAAAGAGAGAGAGTCAAGGTGGGTTGACAACTTCCACTGGCGGGAAAAGAGGAT